TAGTATTCAAAGTTTGATCAAGCTCCCTTGACTTTGTACACCTCATCATATTACTATTACTATTAATATTTATATTGTTTTGACATTAAATGTTTGATATTTTAGGAGATTTATAATCCTATAAATTTAAAATCCCTCGTTAAATATTTATATGATTAATGATGTTATTAATACCTAAGAACATTGATCAAAAATTGAAAATAGGATTTTAATCAATGGAGTAGCAAAAAGAAGAACGTGAACCTAATTTTTTCATTTATTTATTTATTAAACCAAACAATTATTATTTTATTTTTTAAAATTGCAACAAAATTTTGAGGGGGGGGGAGTTTAAAATTTTGGGAGGGAATTTAAAATTTTGGAAGGGAATTTTGGGAGCAATTTGGCGGCCATATTTTTTTTCTGTCGGTTATAATCGACAGTAGGTGAAAATTTTCTGTCGGTATGTATTTTTTTAAAAATTACTGTCGGTTAAAACCGACAGTAATGAGCATTTTCCAAAATAAAACCTATGAAGTAGCTGAAAAAAGAAATGGAAGCTGAACCATCTAGAAGAAGACTGAGAGCCCTAAACCCTCTCTCCGATTGCACCAACACCATTTCCTCCACCACCACCCTAGCCAGTGCCGCCTCTTCGCAGTCCTCATCCTCCTCCACCGTCAAGCTCAAACGCCAGAATCCCATGCTCGCAACTTCAATCACTTTGTAAACAGCACATGATTCCTGCAAATTTGAAGAACACTGAAATGGCCAGTAGGCTCACTTTGCTTCTCAAGGTAATCCCATCTTAAAGAGCAAAATTCCATCTTTATTATACACATATCGTATGTTTTCGTCGTTCTGATTATTTTCTTCAGTCTTGTTTTGTGTTTGGATGCCGAGAAAATTATTGAGAAGAAAATTCTGGGTTTCAAGTTCTGGGTTTCTTGTTATATTTTCAAGAAGTGCTCAACTCAATTGGGGAAAATGCGTGCGTGTGTGTATGGGGGTGATGAAGAACCCATTGAGCCAGTCTGTAAAGATATAGAAGAAAATGAAGGGGAAATTGATTCTGACCTTCTTCAGTCTGCTTGTCGACACAGAGAAGGACGGCCACCGGATTTCTTTCAACAACACTTTCAAAGAGGTAATTTTTCACACTGGGTTTTCTTGGTTTTGGTGGATTGCTGTGAATTTTTTATTGGTAAGCTCATAAAGTGATGAACTTTCAAGAGAAGTTGGAATTTTCAATCTGGGTTTTGTTGCTTTTGGAGAAGTTAATTAGCTTTTGGTATAGCCTTTTACTTTGATGGGAATTATTTGCAGAAGTCGATAACTTTCATGGGTTAATTAGTTTAGTGACACTGCATAATTTGATTGCACAGAAAAAATTGGGTGTTACTTGGGATGTTGATTTATTCGGCGAATTGCTCAAGTTTGCAGGTGGAAAAGAAAGGCAATTACAATCCAAAGAAGAAATATCCGCGGAAGAGGAAGACAATGGCTGTCAAGCATGTCAGAGAAGAATAAGCATGTTGAGGTTTTCGAAGATTACGAAGGACTTGAATTATCGGTTGATATAAATATTTTTTTTATTATTAAAATATTTTCTATCGGTTTTATCCAACAAGAATGATTTATTTATTTATATTAATAAATTCTCTGTCGGATTTAACCGACATAAGTTCTGGCGGATTTTCTGTCGGATAAAACCGACAGAAATCCTGACGGATTTATTATATTCTCTGTCGGTTATATCCGACACAATTTCTGTCGGTTTTAGAGTATTTCCTTTCGGAAAATTTATTTCCTGACGCTAGCAATTCTGTCGCTTAGTGTATCCGTCACTGCATCCATTTTCTGTCGGATTTTGCTTAAAATCCGACAATAATATATGTTTTTTGTCAGTTTTTGGACCGCCAGTTATGGGTAATTTTGTAGTAGTGGTCCACACTGATATTGTATTTCTGAGGGAGAGAGAGCTCTGAATATAAGAGTGAGAGCTTTGAGAGGATGAGAGGGCTTGAGGTTTATGAGGGTGAGGAGACCCTTTTATAGAATAAGGCTCCTCACTTATTACATATTTGCCCCTCCATTTATTACATAATTACATTTGAGTCCCCTGAGTATTTATACGAGATCTAAATACGGAAGCCCTAAGTATGGTATAAACAAATTTCATGTTATTTAGTTTACAAAAACATGATGTAAATGAGAGTTCATAAAGAGTCTTACTTTGAGAATGTCTTCGTAGCATTTCTCTTGACATAATCAAGAAAGATCTATTTTTTTTAACAGACAATATTATCTACACTGAGAAGGTGGGGAAGTGGACTAAGCCTCACAATAAACTAGCGATAATACGGTTCAAATTTTCCTTTGGTGGACCTAAAACTTCTTATTTGCAAGTAGAGAAATATCGTAGTACTAAGTGACAATTGAGAAAGATTTATTTATTTATGAAAAAAAATGAAAGGATGCATTAATTCGTTTATGAATTTGAGTATATTAATTTATTGCATGCGGGGAACTGGGAGGAATTATTCTAAGCTTCATAACATATTTACGTATATAAACATATTTACGTATATAAATATAAGCTGCTGCCACTGCTATCTGTTTATGAACTTGGGTTGGGGATCATATGCGATATTAAAAGGGATGTGCTATTCATACATAATTTTTTACTTCTCTTACATCCCTTATTAATTTTTGTTATTGATATTTTTTAATTCATTTGAATCAATAGTCGAAAATTAAAAATATGTAAGAAAAATAAAAGAAGTGTGGATATCATACTCCTATTAAAATGATTGATCCTACAACAGACAGCATAATAATCAAACACACACAACCCTCAACCCCAATCCTAATAATGTACTGAGAATGGAAGAAAAGGAAGGGAGGGCATCGCCATCGTGGTGCTGGCAGCAAGGCAAGCATTGTCCAAGAGTCTGGCTGATATGGACACTTGGAGTGATCCTTGAAACGCGGGACCAGACACGTGGACATATGCTTAGAAGATCACGAGGTGACGTGGCTAAGAGAATGGCAGGAATGAATGAATGAGTTTCTGTGAGGTGGGGTTTGGGGTTTGGTGGGGGCACGGCGCTCTCCACTACTCCAAGAGTCCAGACTCCAGGAAAGGGAAATGGAAAGAGAAAGAAGGGAAAATTAAGTTAGGAGGCTGTTATTAGCATTTGAAAAATTTTATTTTTCATTGTAAATTTTTTTATTAGGAAAGAAACATACACTTATGACTTATGAGGAGTGTAGAATTAAATTTTTAGAATGTTAATAAAACTTCCCTAAGTTAATTATATAAGAGGAAGAGACAAAGCCCATACTGATGCTGGCAAGTGGCAGTCTATCCACCCATCCATCCATCCATATTTCATGTGCTAATAATCAAAGAAATATGAAATGCGGGTGAAAAATTATAAAAGCGAAGCAAAGCAAAAGGGAAAGCATGATTCCTGTGCCTTACAATGCAAGGGTCACTTTTTCTCCTTTCTCCCCGGTCCTATAAATTAAAATTACCTTGCTCGCTTGCCTATCATCCCAATCGATCCAATTTTACTAATCCCCCTTTCTCATTTTCTGTATTCTCTATAAAATTCTTTACATTTTACTGTTATAATCGTCATATCATCATACTCACTATCTCTCTTTCATTCCTTGAAATTTAGAGACAAACTTATCTTATCCTTAATTATTCTATTCGAACAATTCAAAGAACATATTCTCTAAAAAAAAGTTGCTTTTTGTACAAGCTTTTCTTTTAGTTTATGAAACTGAGTCCTACTCTCCTAAGGTCCTTAAGATTTGTGAAGACCAAATGCCTATTAACCACAAAGTTATATTAGTTTAGATCTAAAGGCTTAAAATATTTGACGACTTGATAAACAAAAACAAGAAAATGAGTTTCTTAATAGTCCATGAATTTTAAGTTGGTTTTGCTTATTAAATTATTAAATATTTTAAACTTTTAAATCTAAATAAATATAATCTTGTGGTTAATATATATTTGGTTATCACATATCCTTAAAATAAAGACATTGAATGAAGCTTGTTTTTATATCGCTAAGAAGCATCTTATACTGGCCCAAAAAATTTAAAAAAGAAAATATCAAAGCATCTTCACATGTCACACTATACCACACCTAGAAATTACTTTGTTTGTTTGTTTTTTTTTTTAATTTTTTTATCGTGTAAGTTTAAATTAATAGATAAACTACACTTATTACGTACCACCCTCTTATCAATGAATCAAATACTTTTAATAATCCATATTACCAGCCATAATAGGACAATTAATGGTCATTAATATATAACCCACAAAGCAGCGTTAAATTATATGAACGACTGCAACAAAAGATGATAAACCCTTTCTTAAAAACATCATAATTCCATTTTAACATCCACCAATCAAAACATTCATGGCAAAATGTCAAGTAAATCGAATATATCATTACAACAAGGCCGGACCTTGTCTCGAGTATTTACCGAGTTTGAGTTTTGGGGGCACAAATTTGGTGGCGCCTTATCTTTTGCGCCCACAAGGTTGAAGTGTTGAAACCAAGAACCCGTGATAGATCACCGGGTATATCCAGTCAGAACCATGCGGTGACCGGGTGCACCCACCGTAATTGGTCATATCATAGGGTCGTAGGGTCGAGAGACTTGAGAGAGAATCTAACCACAGTGTGCAGCGAGACGGATTTTTCAATGTGATCAATCACGTGTTATTATATAAATAATATGATATATGTGTTAAAAAATTAATAATTTAAAAAATAAAATTTTTCATATCTTTTATTAAAATACGTACTATTTATATTTCTGCCACAATTAAAAGATGATGCTGCCGGCAATTAACTTCAGGGATCAAACCCTTTTTCTCTCTCTTTTATTTGATTTTATTTCTATTATTAAGAGTCAAAGCTGGCAATTTCTTTTATTAATAGTAATTATTATTATAAAAAAGAGGGCTTTGTCCTCCACCACCTTCTTCCCCTTATAATTACTCTCCAAATTTTTGAGCAGATTTTAAATCATCATCCTCCTCCTCCTCCTCCTCCCTCTCTCTCCTTCTCTAATCTTCATTTTCTTTTTCTGTTTTTTGCTTCCATATATAAATACATATTTGCCCTTCCTTCCCTTCCCTTCCCTTGTTTGGAAGGGAATATTGCAGAGAGAAAAGAGAAGGGAAGAGAGGAGAGGGGGTTGATGGTGAATGGTGAAGTCTCTTACAAGAGATTAACAGCAACAATGACTGCTACCAATTCATCTTCCTGTCTCTCTTCCACTTCCAATGAGAAGAAGCACTGGTGGCTCAGCACCCGAAAGGTATTGCTTTTCATCTTATTTCTTTCTTAGCCGATTCATTCTTTACTCAATAATTATACATATACATTTGTACAGAAATCAATTACAAAATGTTAGTTTAAACCTTGATGGCACAGATTGTGGAAAAGTATATGAAAGACGCCAGAAGCCTGATTGCGACCCACGAATACAGCGAGGTAGCATCGGCGGTGGGCCTTCTGGACGCGGCTCTCGCCGTCTCCCCGCGCCTGGAGGAAGCCCTCGAACTCAAAGCCAGGTCTCTCCTCTATCTCCGCCGCTTCAAGGAGGTAGCCGATATGCTCCAGGACTACATTCCCAGCCTCATAATGGCAACCGACGACTCTTTCTCCTCCTCATCCTCTGGTGGCTCTGAAAATTCGTCTCAGCCGCTTTCCCGTGAGCGAGTCAAGCTTCTCTCCTCCAATAGCGGCAACTCGTCCTCCAGCTCGCCGGATCGGGATCCTTCCTTCAAGTGCTTCTCTGTCTCGGACTTGAAGAAGAAGGTCATGGCAGGCCTCTGTAAAAACGGCGACAAGGAAGGGCATTGGAGGTAAATTCAAACCCTCGGATTGATTGCTGCTGTGTTGTGTTCCATTGGTTAATGCGCGTTGGATTTCTAAAATTGTTTTTCTTCTGTGTCATGCTTTTTATGACTTTAGTGGTATTATTTATTTTCAGATCAGCCTTGTTGTTGTGCCTTATACGTTTCAGTAGTAAATGCACCTGCCAACTTTTGTAAATCAAGTCCTCGATTTTTGGCCCCCAATATCAAAAGAGAGAGGGAATTGGGGCGAGAAGGATGAATTCCAGTTGTGTTCCAGAAAATTTGACTTCCATATTTGCAGAGCCAGCTAACCAATTTTAAAAATAAATGAAAAATATAACCCAATTGGCGTTCGCATTTCGACATGTGTGCCCCACAGTTTTATAAACTTTAATGTTTAGTTAGGGTACCATTTCTTGTTTTAAATTTGATGTTATTATTGAAAATAAAAAACAATTGCTAATTGCTAATTGAGTTAATTTACCACTTGATGACACAGGTATTTGGTTCTGGGCCAGGCGTGTTACCACCTCGGCCTAATGGAGGACGCCATGGCTCTCCTCCAGACCGGGAAACGCCTCGCCACCGCCGCATTCCGCCGCGAGAGCATATGCTGGTCCGACGACAGTTTCTCTCTTTCCAGCTTCAACCTCTCTAACGACACAGTCTCTTCCGCCAACTCACCCGCCACGCCTCCTAGGATGTTATCCGAGTCCGAAACCGTTACCCATCTCCTTAGCCACGTTAAGCTCCATCTCCGCCGCCGAACCGCCGCAATCGCTGCCCTCGACGCAGGCCTTTACTCAGAGGCCATCCGCCACTTCTCCAAAATCGTGGACGGCCGGCGTGGAGCCCCACAGGGATTCCTGGCAGAGTGCTACATGCAGCGCGCCTCCGCTTTCCGGGCGGCGGGACGGATCGCTGAGGCGATCGCGGACTGCAATCGGACTCTGGCTCTTGAGCCGAGTTGTATACAAGCATTGGACAGGAAGAGCCTCACTTCTGGAGACCATCAGGTGTTTGCCGGATTGCTTACATGACCTGGAGCACTTGAAGCTTCTGTACAATTCCATCTTGAGGGATCGGAAGCTGCCGGGGCCGGCGTGGAAGCGGCACAACGTGAGATACAGGGAGATTCCGGGGAAGCTGTGTTTGCTGACGACCAAGATACAGCAATTGAAGCAGAGGGTGGCTTCAGGGGAAACAGGGAACGTGGATTACTATGCTTTGATCGGGTTGCGACGAGGGTGTTCGAGGTCTGAGTTGGAGAGAGCGCATTTGCTGCTCTGTTTACGACACAAGCCCGATAAGGCCACCATTTTCATTGATCGGTGTGAGCTGGCGGATGATCGGGATGTGGATTCAATTAGGGATAAAGCGAAGATGTCGGCTCTGTTGCTTTACAGATTGCTGCAAAAGGGTTATTCAAACGTGATGGCAACCATCGCGGAGGAGGAGGCAGCGGAGAAACAGAGGAAGAAGGCTGCAGCTGCATTACAGGCAGCTCAAGGTCAGGCTGCTCATGCCGCAGTAATTCAAGTGCAAGTGTCCCAAACCCAAGCCCAAGAATCTCGAATGGAATCCTCCTCTTGTTCTTTCAATTCTAGCAATAGGAATGGTGGTAATCATAACAAGAATAATATGCACTCGTCGTCAGCGGAAGCGAAAGCAGCGGCAGCAGCGTCGTTCCAAGGGGTGTTTTGCAGAGACATTGCGGTCGTGGGGAGTTTGCTGTCGCAGGTTGGGTTTAACCGCCCAATTCAAGTCAAGTATGAGGCGTTGAGTTGCTGATTGGAAAATTGCAAGTATATTACCGGCGGGAAGAATCTTGCTTCAGTTTCATTTCTGTCTGTACAAAAAAGCCGGGAAATTTTTGTCACCATTTTTTCCATTATCCTTATCTACCACTACTAGTAGCTACTACGGTGTTGGACTAGTTCATGTACAAATTTTCGACTTTTTCATTTTTCGCTTTAGCTTAAAATTGGATGCCTTTTCCTTCTTTTTTAGTTACCTTTTGAAATTAAATATATAAATTTCATATTCGCATTTGTTGTTTAAAATTTTGTGGATGCATCCACAAATGTAATCGTATTGAAATATTGAATGGGAATAGGGTTGGGGTAGGGTAGGGTTTCGAATACGATTCATAAAAGTTGGGGGGCCATGTCTTTTCAGTTGCTACTTCTCACCCAAACAATGCTTTGGTTCGCTTGAGCGCGCGCCTCCTTATCCACTCCCTCACTCGCTCACTTGTTGTAACCAACTCTATGCTTGGTATGATCGAAACTGTTTTATTTTCTTGAGCATACACTTGGCTAATAACATATAGGCAGGCGTAGGCCTGATTTTTGGTCGGATCTAATTGGAAATACATGTTTTAATCGCAATCCAAAAAGTTTCAGAATGCATATCATTTTCAATTTTGGAATTTCATAACCTCACGACTAATTCGGTATTTTTGGAATTATATTATTTTGGAATTTCAAAATCATGAGAGTTATGACTTCATCTATACCAAGATAAAAGAAAATACATAGCATCTTCATGCTCTCTACATAATATAAAATTATATAGTTCTCAAATTCTCATTTATGTATGTATTCAAGGGAGTTGTAACTGAATAAAGAGTTACATACTTGAGCACATTGTATTTCAAATTCAAAGTAAATAAATACATAATTAAGTATATATGATAGAGTTATGCAAGCTTCGAAACATCAGATCGGATTCAGAATATCACATATATTCCAATTCCTATTCAATTTTTTCTAATTTTGGAATGTAGATTTTGAATTTGAATTGCACAGAATATTTTAGAGTTTTCAGTTTGAAATATATCGAAATTTGGTATTCGTACCAAGTTGCACCCTATAATGAATTGAGTGAATACGAGCGATCATTACTGAATGGTGAGACAGAGACCAGAGAGGGAGATAAATAATGGAGATTGGAGAGATGGCAAATGCGGATGATCCGTGGGTGGGTTAGATATTTACATGGGTGAGAGGGGGAGAAAGCACATGTGTAGGAAAAAGTTTGTCAGTCTTTCGTTTGTATTTTTCACTGCGGGAAGTGGGAAGTGGGAAATTGAAAGAAAGTGCATGGTTGGTGGCCAATCCAATGAATCCATAGTCCAACTCCAACACAAGACGCGAGGCCTGCGATGCGATGCAGAAGGAGGGTATCTAATCAATCACACACGAAATTGAACACTCAATACAATGGTTTAGGGCGTCTCAGTATGTCTCTCTCAGTCTGCTTCCTTCCTTCCAGGATTCCATCCGTACACTGTTAATTTGTTCTTTTCTTTGTTGTTTCTTTCCACTCTCTTTTCTCCTTTCTCCATCCTTGCGTTGCAACCAAAGCTAAAGTAAAAGAATAATCAATAATTATGCATCTCCATCTATCTCCATGTGAAGTGCTGGTTGGAAGGAGCGGAATGCGCTTTATTGATTTATTTGTTCACATATTTTACTTTATAAATTATTCCACTCTTGCTTTGCAACCCCGTAAAGAGACGTGGCTCTTTCCAAAATCAAGAAAAATGGAAATGCTACTGCTACTGCGCGCGCACAGAGATTTATATAATGATATTACAGAATCCAGATACATTCATTCAATTCATTCATGCATGTGTTCGTAAACCTAAAATACTGTTTTCATGTAATATCTGTCATACATACAACCGCTTGTGTTTGTGGAGGAGCATCATTATGTTTGTTTGTGCGCATATGCTATTACAGAATACAGAGTGATTAATAAGAGAGGTATATACATATATTTAAAGGGGTGTGCTATCCACATACATTTTTTTACTTCTTACACATCCCTTGTTAATTTATGTCCGTTGATCTTCTTCAACTCATCCGATCCGACGTTCGAAAATCAAAAAAGTATGGGAGAAGTAAAAAGGGGTGTGTGAATATCACACCCCTATTTAAAAGGTTTGGATTTGGAGACACATATTTTGGACACTCATTTTGTAAGGTCTTTGTAATGTAATTCAACGTTCCGAAACATTTATACTTTAGAACATAGATTTGCAAAAAAAAAAAAAGGCAAATAAAAAACAATTAAACAGACGAATAAGGTTCTACCAAGAAACACTAATTTTAATCTAATTGTCATATGACTTCGAATTTGGGTAATTTTTGATAGAGATGATGTTTGAGGAAAAACATAAAAGATAGATGGTTGACTCACTAAAATACATTACAGAGTGAGCCCACAAAAAGGTGTATCTAAATGTGTGTCAAAAGCATGTGTCTCCGGATCTTAATCCATATTTAAAAATAAAATAAACAAAAGTTGGTAAGATTCAATTTCTGTAAGAAAGAAGAAGAACAACTTATATGGAATGAGTTCACTATTACGTGATATTTCGATCCAATAACACGTTGTCATGTGAAGGAAAACTTACACATAAACATTTATTACTGGACAAAAAGATGTCATGTGATTGTGAACTCGTTTCATGTAAGTCATTCTAAAAAAAGAAGAGACAGAGGGCTTTTAAGCTGAGGATTATTTAAGATGGGAGAAAAAGGGGGGCGGGGTGCTGTTGGAATTTAATGAGATGAACAACCACCATCCAGAAATACATTTCAGATGAGATGGTCATTTGCTTTTGTAGTTAAATTGTAATTGAGTTTATGCTTTTAGGTCCTAAAAAAGCGAGGGGTTATCTGTTCCATGGGAAAAGTCTGTCTACTGGCTACTGCTCCATCCAAAACTTACCAAAATGCTAAAACGAAGTTCAATTAATTGCATTTGCATTATTTGCTTTTCTTTCTTGTCAGTTTTCACTTTGCCGGAAAAGAGGATAGGATACGACTGTTTGCCAGGACAGGACTAGTACCCCGGCCCCATGCAAATGCCAATGCCAAATGCCAGAAAAAGATTCTATTGGTCCCAGTCTACACACACCCCCGCTTCTGGTTTCTGGACGTTCTGGTGGTGTTGGATCATGAAATTATCTACCAAGCATGAGTTGTTAGTTTTTCTATACTTACTACATTGGATTCCCCTTTTTGTTAGTATACTTAAGTAAGCTAGATGCTATAATATGAGTTGTTAAGGTTTCCATTATAACGATTGACTAACTAAAAGTGAATAAGTAAGGTTAAGACTTCAACTAGACAAACCACTAGCTCACTGCTAACCATACATACTAATATTATTCTTAACTTAACTACATGTGCAATCTAATAGGTGCGAAATTTTACTACAAAATACCTCGATTCACTTAGAAGTGAAACCATTTAATATAAGTTGTAATTTATTTTGTAAGTTGAATGCTATGAGACTTTTTACATTATTCAGCAACTTATGGAATCGGTTAAAGTTAAACAAAACCAGACAAAAAAAATCGTTTGATTAACACCAAACATATCATTGTCACTTAGTACTATGATGTGGTGTTATTCATGCATCCCTTAATGCAAATATACCATTCTTAAAGAAACGCCAAACAATAAACAGACCATTTACACAAGTCACGGTTTCCTTTTTCTTTTGTTGCAAGTGATGATATGAGCAGTGAGCTCCTTTTATCCCTATCACTCCGCTTTAGCTTCCATCCTTTCAATCCACTCTTCAATTATGTTTGCTTTGCTTAATTTGCTCCACCCTTTAAGAAACATCAAGCAAAAAGATGATTTGGGAATTTCCAATTATCACTAATCTGATAATCTTCATGCATGTATTATGATTAATCAAATTTACCAACCGGATCCAAATCTCTCTTTCTATATTATATAATTGCGACATGTTCTTGGGTGTTGAAAAGTCGTAGGTTAGAGACCACTTGCTAATAATCAACAATCCGCAAGGCTGTAATTGCGCTCTTAAGACTTAATTACTATGTCTATCTTAATTTTTATTTATTTATTTGTGTTATGCTCCTTCTTGTGCTTTGATAAGGGTGGATGTATGATGACATAAGTAGGAGTATGCTAGGTTTAGTGTTCAAAACCATCTAATAACAAAAACAAAAACAAAAATAGCAAAGTAAAAGTGCTATGTAGAGTAAAAATAATACTTGAAGATCGGTGTTTTATACGACAGTAATGACTGTTAATCTATCAATGAAAATCACTATTGTTTTTGTCCAAAAAGTATAACAAATTGAGTAAAAGTAGGTTTTTCTTTGACCATACACCTTTGCAGTGTCTCCTTTTAGGCTTTTAGCCTTTTAGCTAGCTGTGGAAGTCTTGTTCTTTGTTGTTGAAAGTTGATTGGCTTTTATTCGCTCTCCATGCATATCACGGCTCAAGGCTCAAATACTAGTACATGTGTACCATATGAATGATGATAATGATATAGAATTAGGATATTTTTAGTAGCACTCCACATATTATTGAATATATCATACATAAAAATTTATTATTAAATGACATATACTTTTATATGAAATGACTATCTAGCCCACGAAAACCAAATTAGTTGGAGTAAAACAATCAAATTAGTTGGGCCAATAAATTTCAAGAAACAAGCTACCAAGAGCTCGTCGAATTTGAGTGGTTTAGCAAGCGGAGCATTTCTCAGCAAACATGAAGTTTAACATTGCGAATCCCACCATTGGGTGCCAGAATAAGCTTGAGATCGACAACGACACCAAACTACGTGCATTATGGGACAAGAGGATCTCTCAAGAAGTCAATGGTGATGCATTGGACGATGACGTTAGGAGGTATGTCAAAACCTACCGCAAATCATTCACAAACAAAAAAATAAAATTTAAAAAGTAAACTTTCACGATAATTCGAATCAAAACCAATGCAGGAATGCCTTTCAGTTAAAGCCGCTGAAATGTTGGGGCAGCTGATATTACGTCTATGGAGGATTGTCTGGGTTCGGAGGGTTGTATCATGGAGAATATACAAATGTTGGGGAAAAGTTTCGAATGTTTTTTGTCAATGGCAGAACAAAGCTTGTTGTTGCTCATAAACTAGCTCAGTATGCAGTTCGTGATGATGATTTTAAATTTGGGATTGAAGAGGAGCCTAGTTAGCTCTCTCCTCTTGTACTGTCTGTTGATTCCTCATGTTAATGAAAGGCTTATTTTCATAAAAAATGAAATAAAAAATCTATAATCATAACTAAATGTGCAGAAAATTGATGGAAGACTAAACCCTCGAGTGGACAAAACTAAATGTGCAGAAAATTGAATAGAGAATATGAAAAGAAATCTTAAATTTCACAAAGAGTGTGAATGTAAGGGTAGTATTTGAAAATACGTGAGGTGTATTAAGATAAATTTTAATCTAAAAAGTAAACGTGAGGTTTATTAAGTATGTGGGGTATAATCAACAAAATGTGGAGTGTGTATAAAACAACCCTAGAATTATCTCTAATTGTATTTGTTATTCTTAATTAATTTGTTCCTCCTGAGTCCTGTCCCGAATAATCTACGCATCCGAATTAATTTCCATTGGTGGGGTGGGGTGGGTAGTAGTACTGGAAACTGCAAGGAGTTTAAATTGTATTAAACGCAGGCTAGCTAACCAGCTTGGTCGCATATATATATTTGGTTTGGAACAACAGCCTTCCCTCTCGCATTCACGTTTCTAAGAGCAGGGTAGGATGGTTGTACAAAGTGATATATTTTTAAAATATATAATACTTTTAATTCTTGTGACGAAAGAAAGAGTGGTTTTGCACTTTGCACTTGCACTACAGATATAATTGCTTCTCCGTTCTCCCTCACAAGTCATGATGGAGGAGGCAACATAAACTATTTATATATTATTATCTTATTATTAAAGCATCTAGTCTAATCTCGTCTCATCTCATCCCTTCATAGGTTCCTACCTTTTTTCATTTCATAATATATATATATATATATACTGTTTTTAATATATCCTTTCAAGTTTGGTCCATCCACCATTAATCACTAGTGGTAACCATTATATATTAATATTGTACTTCTTTGTACATTATAAATCTGAGTTGTTATTATATATGATATATAGAAGACAAGACAAGGAGGGAAGGACAAACATATACATATGTAATATGTCATGTGCGATCTCCAGGCATGATTCACCACAGTCTCTCTCTCTTTCTGAGAGGATAAGAAAAAGGTGATCGAGGACTGAGGAGGGTGCAGGAGGTTCGATCGGATGAGCACTGAGAGAGCAGAGCTTGGAAATAGAAATGGAAAAAAGAAAGAAAAAGAAATTGGATATATCTGGGTGGAAACTAGAACCAAGCACATGCTAGAACTAGAAGAGAATAGCTCAAGACTTCAGGAATTCATGTGGTGTTAAATTCTAATACGAGAAGTATTCGCTTGAATATCATACACTTTAAAAAAATTCTCATTAGTTGTATAATTAGAAGAAGTAATTAAATAAACACGTGATGTTTGAATGTTGGAAACATACGTAAGTTAACATTGAAAAGGGATAAAGTCGTGGCCAGATATGATGATGTCGTCACTGCAACCAGCTGCCACCCCATCCCATGTGAATCTCAGTGCGAATACATATATCATATATATCATATTTTCACGTGCTGCCTGAGCCTTCCCTCCCTCATTACTCGTTGCATCTCATCTCTCACTCAATTCTCATGTCTGATCAGCCCAATTGATCCAATCCAAACAAAGACAATACAATATGAATCATGAATATGAATATGAATATGATTATGATGATGAGGGTTAGTTAATTTATTTAATTGGGGTTTAGGGTTTGGTGTGTTTTTGGGAGCTTGTACACTAGTGTAGGCTCTGTAGGTCTTCCCCTTGTCAAAACACGAAAACACTAATAAACTAATAATATGCAACTTCAAGCACAACATTCCTTTCACATTGTAAACGATCGAGATCTATGTATACATATAGAGAAGGATAATGTTATTCATACATTTATTTTTATTTTTTATATTTTTTGTTAATTTTGGGTCATTGATATTCTTTAATTCATTCGGATAGCTAGAAATTGAGAGGGTGTGTGAAAAGTAAATATATAGAATGTTTGGATAGCACTACCCATAGAAAAATGTTAAGGAGATTCTCTCAAAGTTAAACTCTTCATTCAACCTTATAAAACGAGAAATTCTAAGCAGACTCTCTCAAAAGTAGAACTCTGCATGAACTATTTGTCATCTCATATTTTTGACACAATGTTTTATAGCATTGACACGGGAATTGACGTTAAACTGTAAGGTGACATAGAGTCCATAAAGAGTCCGACTTCGAGAGAGTCTCCTCAATATTTATTTTATAAAACTTTATGCAAAAAACATGAAGTGACAGGACTTCATGAAAAATCTTACTTTTGAGACTCTTAATATTTCTCATATATTTATAATCTTAATAAATAAAAAACAATTCCTTGATTCAGCACTATTTAGTTTTGGACTGGGTTCGTTTCAAATGCTCGCTCCGTTTAAAATAAAAGGACAGCCATGAAATGAAATGAAACAATATATCCGATGATATATTTGCCTGCCCACCACACCCCTGTTTCAGTTTCAGTTTCTAACTTTGTAATTGAAATGGACCAACAACAAAACCCAACGGCCCATCATCAATACAACAAAACCCAACGGCCCATCATCAATACTCCTCAATATAAAGTGTATATAAGTGACAGGGCTTATGGTTAATTCTCACTCTATATTAAACAACAACAATCGAACCTTATCCAATGAAATTTCACTTTATATTAAAAAATAACAACCAAGCTTTATCGAACTAGTGGAGTCGGCATATGAATCCAAGGATGTCATTGCTCAATTCTGCGTCAAGTTTTCTGTTAGCTTTAAGTACTTCATATATTTTCTTATAGTCTGTTTCAAAGTCTTCTTAGGTATTCTCTACCCCTTTTGCCCTGAGTCTCCGGTTCATAGTGCATCTTCTAACCAGAGCATTTGTGGGTCTTGGTTTATGTGCCCATACCATCTTAACCGATTTTCTCTATCTTATCTTCAATTGCGGTCACTCTTACTTTACCTCGAATGTCCTTGTTCTTAATTATATCATTTTTCATTTTGCCACACATTTAACGAAACATTCTCATCTATGCTACGTTCATATTTCTCATGTGTTGCTTTTTGACCGCCCAACATTTCGTGCCATAAAGCATCGTTAGCTTTATTGTCGGCCCATAAAATTTCCTTTGACCTTTAGTAGCACACGACAATTGCACATCACACTCGATGCACTCTTCTACTTCATCCATCTAGCTTGTATTCTATAGTTGAGATCTCCACCTAATTCTCCGTTATTTTGCAAGATAGATCCAAGGTAATGAAAACATTCACTCTTTGTTACTTCCTGACCTCCAATCTCCACCCCTATCTCATTTGGACCCTCATTTCCACTAAATTTGCAATCCATATACTCTGTCTTTGACCTACTTAGACAAAGACCTTTAGCTTCCAACACTTCCCACCAAAGGTTAAGTAAATGTACACCAAGGGATGTCATCTTGACTGTGTCTCGTTAACTTGTTCATTACCAAGGAAAAAAGGTAAAGACTTAAAGTGAGCCCTTGTATAATCCTATGGTTATAGGAAAGCTTTCAGTTTGTCCTGCATGAGTTCTTATTGCAGTTCTTTCTCTATCATACATATCCCTTATTGCATGGATATATGCTATTCGTACTCAATTCTTCTCTACAATCCTCCGAAGAATTCATCTTTGGACTCTATCATACTCTTTTTCCAAATATATAAAGACCATGTGCAAATCATTTTTCATATCTCATCTTCGTAAGAGATAGATTGCCTCCATTATTGAGCGCCCTGACATGAAACCGAATTGATTCTTTAAGACCCATGTCTCATGCCTCAATTTGTATACTCAATTACCCTCTCTTAGAGCTTCATCATATCGCTCGTTAACTTAACACCCTTATAGTTCATGCAATTTTGTATGTTGCCCTTATTCTTGTTGATAAGTGCTAAATGCTTTCTCGCGACTCATTGGGCATTTTCTTCATTTGTGAATCGTGTTATACCCGTCTCTTCTAAGACTTTCCACAATTCAATCGGTATATCATAGGGACTTACTGAATATATTTGCTTCATCTTTTTCAAAGCTACAACCACTTCCTTTTTCCTGATTTGGTGGTAAATGAGTAATTTCTACTCTTTTGATTACTCACCACCCAAAAAAGTACTCATGTCGTGTCCTTCATTGAAAAGATATGAAAATAAGCTCTCTATCTGTTTATAACTGCATTCTTCGTAGTTAGGAACATTTTTTCATCCTCATCCTTGATATACCTTACTTGGTTCAAGTCTCTTGTCTTTCTTTCCCTTGCTCTAGCTAGTGTATTGATATCCAATTCTCATTCTTTGGTATCTAACAGCTTATACATGTTGTCAAAAGCGGCTAGCTTTGCTTCTCTCATAGCGTTTTTTGCTTCCTTCTTTGCTAACTTGTACCTCTTACAGTTTTCATTGGTTCTATCCTTATATAAGGCTTTACAACTTTCCTTCTTAGCCTTAATCTTTTCTTGTACCTCCTCCTTCCACCACCAAGATTTCTTTTGATAAGGGGCAAAACCCTTAGACTCTCCTAATACGTCATTTGGCAACTTTTCGGATACCAGCTACGTAATTCCTCATTTGGCTAGCGTTCCCCTCTACATTCCGAATGTATTAGGCGAGTACTTTCTCTTTTAAAATGACTTTTTTCTCCTTTTAGATTTCACCATCAAGCTCTTGGACACTTCAAGGCCTTGTTCTTCCCTTTCTCTCATTTGATCTGTACATCCATCACCAAGACTATATTATAGAATTATTCAAAATTTGCCCACTAATTATGACCCGATTCTACTAATTAACGGATCATATATGACCCGATTCTACCAATGACCTCGATTGGCCTCATTGTTGTGAGTTGTCCAGATCAAATCCAACGGATTAAAAACGTCGGTATCATTGGCCCACATTTTATGGTCACACGAGAATTTGCGCGAACAGCAATTAGCCATAATGCATGCAATGTATCTACGCTAGCTACGCCCAACCATGAATCATTCATTTGACCAAAAAAGAAATCATGAATCATTCATTAGAATAAGTTTCTACTACTAACTCCACAATTTCATCTACAAAAATCAATTATACAAATACAAAAAAAAATAAAACATAAGTCAAAATAAAAATGGTTCCTCCAAGATTGGTCAAACAAACAAACGAGCGAAAAAAAATAAAATAAATCATTTGCTGCTCCTACCCTTTTTCCTTTTCTTGGACGACTTGGTGCTGTTTTTGCTCCAGCTACAGTCTGGACAAAACCAGTCATCCTCCGGAACACTTTCAAGTGGTGGATTGCAGCACTCGATATGAGTACCAATTCCACACCCAACGCTCCCACTTTCGTTGCCGCATATCAGCATCACCTCCCCTCTCTCCCCAGACCCACACACCACGCAAGGTATGTCACTACCACCACCACAACTAGCATCGTCACCATCCTCACCTGTAAACGCTTCCTCCACCACCTCTTCCGCTCTGCTCTGCACTCTCTCAAAAGACTTTTCCGCCCACGCATTGGTGTTGTATAGCACGTGTCTGTCGAGCGGGTACCCAGGTTTGCACACGTACTCAACCAAGTAATCGGCCACTACGCAGGGTATCTCATGGTTCAACAACTCTTGTACCCACATATCGGCACGCGGCATGCCTGGGCTGACAATGGCATAGTCAACCCCCGACTTAAGGAAGCGGGTATAAGGAGGAGAAGTCGCCAATATTGTTCCATCACCAGCCTTCACGACACGCTTCAGAGTATCCTGTTTGAAGACAACGAGTGCACATTCTGGTTAACTCTCCAGTTAGCTTTCAATCGATTCCGAAGGAATAATACCCCCCACCAGTATGAAAAAGGAATTTGACTATTTGGGAAAGATATCTAATGTTCTTTAGTAAAAGATAAGGCACAATTTGCATCAGAACAATGTAAAAACAGTGAAATTAAACTTGGAAAATATAACATACCAAAGGTGGTGCAATACATTCGCCATATATGATAACGCGCATTCCATGGAAAGCACCATGGCCTGTTCTCTTTCTCAAGAGCCGCCACTTCCTTGGGGCCTCCAAATTGATTGTACCATCTTCACTAAGACCATTCTTGTACCATTCATAAGGTTCTTCTTCCAAAAACCTTCCTTCCTTATCACTAGCTTCCAGATAATCACTCTTAAGAATCCACCTGCACTCAACGTAGAATACATTAAAGCATCCATTTGCACTGGAAATTTCAATTAGCTAATCCCAAACATCCTAGGAGAAAGGCACACTAAGGGGATAACAAACATACCTTCCAGACGCTGCAGCTGCGAAAAATTTCTCTGTCCTGCCAACTCGATCTGGAGAGATGAAGTGTGTTGCCTGGTAAGACCAGTGATGAGAATCCCGGCAACATCTTCCTTTCAAACGCTTGATAACTTTTTGAAACTCCTTTCTTTGAAATCGGTGCCCACTCAGAATAAACCTAACAGGTTCAATTTTAACTTTGCTTGTAGCCTTCCCTTCGGGTATTGAAGGATTGTCACTTCTCTCCGCAGATGTTTGAATTATCTTCAACGGAGTTATACCAGATTTAGCTATTGATTTTTCTGCCTGCTGTTTGGCCTTGCTTACAGTTTGATCTCCACCAACAATTGGCTTGTTCTCCTTCATTTTGGCAGAGTTCTCTAACTTATTTTGGGGCGCACTGCGGCACTTAGCTTTGCCCACTAGACCTGCAAGTCTTTTTTCTTTTTTCTTCTCTGTCACCCTAGTGCTATCATTCCGAGTATTTTCCTCAGATACTACTTTTTTAGGTTTCATAACATCCGCGACAGGGTGAACAGTTTTCAGCTTGGTTTTACCCAAAGCATGCTTTTTCCCTTGGTTCTTCTTTCCCTTGACAGCGTCTCCGTCTGCGGCAGGCTCAACCAGCAGAGAAATGTTGTCAGAAACTGACTTTTCTCGTTCGTTTCCTTCTATACCCAATGAGGCCATTGCATCACGGGGAGTACAGGCATCAGAATGATCCTGTAGGTGCTGCTCCTGTTCTGACTTCTTATCACATTTACTTGTTGCTTGGACCACTATATCCTTGGCTTCGTGAACTACATTCTCTAATTTATGTTCACTTTCTTCCTCTGGAGCTTCAGTTTCATCATCCATAGATTCAATGTTTTTCTCATCAACATCTGCAGACATGTCAACATCTTTTCCCTCCAGCTCGTTTGGGGCCTCAACATTAACATCTGGACAAAGCACATCAAGCTTTGTGGGATCAGGAGATTTCTGAGAATCCCCTGCATTATAAAGAACTGCCGTATCATTTAAGGAGGCATCTTTATATAAGTGCACAGACCCCTTTTGGTTAGCAGAAACTAACCTAGGCCTAGAACCCAGAGTCTTCTTGGACTTCACCTTCTGCTCAAGATGTTTTGTTACTAAGTCATTATTTCCCTCTTTAAGCATGTTCAGATCAGCAGGGTCGTTGGAACTGTTATTCACTGACTTTTTGTTACTTGCAGATGAACCCTCAACATCTTGTGGCTGATTTTGCAGTTCCACTGCTTTGCTGACTGCAGCTGTAGACTTTTCCTCAGCACAATCTACAATACCAGGCTTGTTGGATAAGCTAGGCTTTCTTAATCTTCGAATAGTGGTTAGAGGTGATTTCATGTTTGCATTTTCATCTTTCCCCATGTTTGAGATCACAGTGGCAGAGAAAGGGAGATCACATGCCAATGGCTTCTGAATTAAATTAGATAATTTGGCTGGTGAAACACCAGCCATTGAGTTTCCTGCAGCATTCAAATTGCTAGTCTTATCCGGAGAGTGGTCATCATTTGTGACAATATAATGGCTAGTAGTCCTGCATGAACCATCAATCAAAGATGTAGGCTTTCCTTTCGGAGATTTATTACTTGGTGAAGGACTATGCATACTGCCTGATTTTGCACCTGGACTCATCTTCTGTGATTTGGAGCTAGCATAAGAGAGATCCATCACCCTTTTCCGAGGCAATATACCACTTGACTCTTCTCCATTCTGTAAATGAATTCCTTTTAAAGGGACTTCAACACAATTGGGGTCAAATTTGTCATTTGCTTGATCTTTCAAAGTGGCACTTGATTTGCAAATAGGTACTTTAGAAGACACACTACAACCGCTTGATTTATCGCCCGTGTATGTTGGAACTGTTGGCATCCATAAGGTTTGCCTTGAGTAGCTTAATTTCCCAGCAGAGTGCGAAGCTCTTCCAGCAGAACCACAATTAGAGATGAAATCATCTCTCACCTTAGGGTCAGGGGTTCGGTGATGTTGATCATTTAGGTCACAGCCACTAGAATCCCTCAACTCACGTGCATCCTGACAGCCTAATCCCTTGGAAACATAAGAATTAGAAAAGCTTGAGGTTTGATCCAATTTATTCTCATTCCGAGGAATTGATAAGTTGCCAATGGCATTATCAAAAATCAAGGGAACCTTTCGCACCTCTCCTTCTGATTTAGGCAATCTAGACGTTGCTGGTGAGCCAGCTTTTATATTGTGAGGACTCTTATACATGCTTCTCACCCCAGATTGCTTCCCAAATGTGTTTTCAGCCTCATCTTCTGAATCTCTAGCCTCAGCCTCCATCATCTCCAGTTCATAGCCACTGTTGAGAATGTGAGAGATCAGCATACAAATTTGCAGGTCTACCGAGAAAAAAATTGTTCAAAAATTCACACACAACCAACTCACCTAATGTTGTAATTATCTTCTGGAAGAAGTTGCCAATCCCTTAAGCTGAAGCATGTAAAAAGGAGTTTAAATGGAAACAAATAAACAATTCATAGTGGTGGAAAATCTCTTTTCTTTGGTTGAAACAATCTGAATAGATGCCAAATGATATCAGAATTTTTAAAACAGAAGAGAGTGAACAAACATGAACTTACCAATCTTCCAACCAACGATGGTTGACAAGCTTCATCTTTGGGATTTTCTTGGCAAGTTCGTACTTCTCCCCTAACGATATAAAAACCATATGTATCATAACCTTTTTTATAAAAGTACAGAGTTAAAGAAGAATGCATAACAGAGAATAGATCAAATGCGTACCCTCAAATTTGTAGCATACGAGATGAGTGACTTTGTTTGCCACCAAGGGCTTAGAAAACTGAGCACCCATTAACCCAACCATTGTCTGATAAAGAAAAAAGAAACAAATCATGAAACAGGCACTCAATGAAACAAATCTCCAGTCTCCAGTAGGGCCTATATCAGAAGCATTGCAAAAAAGTAGAAATGCGTACCATAATGTCATCTCTATCTTGTCGTTGATATCCAGTCAAGCATACAATTAGTCTCTTGGCATCCGGAATACCATTCAAATCTCTAAGAGGTCTGTATATAATCTGTGCAAAAGGCTACTATTAATACGGAACAGTATTTGCAGGCTCATAGGTGGTTTAAACTATGGCAGCTAGAGTTTGCATTTTCAATAAACATGGTTTGTTTATCATGTATAAAGTAAATGAATATATGGCAAACTTCACTGGGAATGAGGACATGTTTAAGAAGCCAGATCCCAAAACAAAAGAAAGGATCAAAACTGGAAAATGATAAGACAAGTAAGATTGAGAAGGGGGAAAAAAAACTCACCGAAGTGGGATCAATGGGGAGTCCGACATCAAAACTATGATGAACCCATAAAGCGGTGACAAGAGTCTTGGCGTCATTTCGAGCAGCAACACATACGGGATCATCCTACAAAATGTACAAAAATGCAGATTATACACCATTTTCTATTTCAATAATTCTACGATAATCACAGAAAACAAGACATAGCATGAACTTATTAAAGCGTCAAAATTGAAGCTTGGAAAAGCAATTAGAAGAAAAAAGCGACTTACATACACAATTTTATCCACAATGACGTGGGTGCAATTGGGGGAATAGTGGGCAGCATCCTCTCCGCCGCAATCTACAAGCTTAGATCGAACCTGCGCGATTCATCAATTAACACAAAACTAAGCAAGGCCACCACATCATAGTATCATACACATGGAAATTTCAGATATTTGTAATTCCCAAGACTGTAAGAGACAAAGGGAAGGGAGGAAGGAGGACCTGGTGCTCGTCAAGGGGGTCGAATCCCAAAAGAAGGAAACGGACGCCTACAAACGTCTTGGCCGGTGAACTTCCCTCCGCCATTGAAATTTGAATCCTTCCAACTCTCTCGCTCTCTCTGGGCCTCTCTCAGCAGTTAAATACCTAAACCCAACCCAAGATTCTCCAGAAATAAAAGCTAAAGAGAAAAAGGAAGAAGGTGCGATTCAAGAGGTGAGGGTGTAAAACTAACAGATAGTGCTCCGCCTCCGCGGCTTCTGCAATCTCATCTCATCCGGTTGCTGAATGCCTAAAACTTGTGGGGGAAGACTGAGAGGCCGACTCACTGTTTGGGGAAAAATAATGACAATTATTAATAATATTTTTTTTTTATAATTGGTAAAAGGGAGGGAATTTTGTTTCATTTTTTGATTTTGGGTGCAGTGGCGGGAATCCGGATCCTTTCTGTAAGGATTCCGGAGATCTATAAATCGTGTTTGTTCATCGTACATTTTGCGGTCAAAAATAATTTTAAATATTTTTATTTAAAATTAGATACAAATAGTACTGATAAAAACTGATCATCCGATGTACGATTAACAGATATAATTCAAGGATCTCCAAGTCCGCACAAGAAGGATCCGGAGAGAATTCCGTTGGCAGTGGCGGGAGGTCTAAATGGTGCGAGTTCGCCATGTGGAATAGTGGCACGATAGATCTTAAACGCGCGTCACCCATAAAAGTGTCTCCAACAGACTAGTTAGAAGAAATTTTTGTACTAGTTTAATGTAAAATGTAGTGAAAAACAAAAGCAGCAAATCTGCTCGCTGTTCGGCTCGGTAAATAAGCGAAATAAACAATTACTTGCTAGATTTAGAAAAAAAGAAATGAGAAATGACTCGCTTGTTATAATTTAAATATTGTATTTGTAAAGTAGGCTTCTCCTTCAATGTTTGCGTCTAGTCCATATGAGCTCACTACAATTAGCTTGTAATACTTTTATACACACTATCCTTTAGCTAAATTAACAAAGTTATACAGTGTTGCTGGAGGAACTAGGATTATCTCCCTTTTATTTTTTTCTCTTTGTCCCTTCCTTTCTATTTGAATGGTCACAATTAAACCACGTCAACATCTTATATTAATTTTTTATAAAAAAAAAAAGATAAAATAAAGAATATAAGAGAAAATGATGAAAGGAGATAAAAAAATGGAGGAAGAGAATCCTAATCCTTGCTAGAGATGATCTAAACCTCCCAGAGGCTAGAGTCGTCAACGTATATGAAATGGGCCTCTGGCTAAATGCTAGCTTTAGGTGAATCACCAACTTTTCGATCAGATCAGATTGGTGAATCCAACGGTCAGGAATAAAACTAGATAGAAGCAAAGCAACAACCATTCGCCAATTCCAGTCTCCAGAGGAAAATAAAATAGTGAGAGAAAGAAAGTAGATAAAGCTTCAAGCTTCATTCCTTCAATCCTTCAATCCTTCAATCGCTTGCGAATTGCGATGGCTTGGTTGACTCGATTCCTGGCAGCCGTGGCTTTCTTGGCCATCGGAGTGATATTCTCCCCGGAGACCTTTGGGTCGAAATCGGACGGTCTGAAATCGCCCACCCTCTCCACCTACCTAAAGCTGGCACATCTGCTCTGTTTCTCCACCGCATTCGGCGCCGCTCTCTGGGTCACCTTCATAGGCGGCATCATCATGTTCAAGTATTCATTTTTTATCTTCTCTTGAATTTCCATTTTTGTCAGTAATTTTGTATTTTGTTCAACGGAGAAGAATAGATTGGTTGATTGATTGATGAATTGGAAAATAGGAATCTTCCGCGGCATCAGTTCGGGAATCTTCAGAGCAAGATGTTTCCGGCGTACTTCACGATGGTGGGGATATGCCTTGCAGTATCAGCTGGGTCGTTTGGGTATTTGCATCCGTGGAGCTCTTCCTCTGTTGCCGACAAGTACCAGCTCGGCTTTTTGCTCTCTGCCTTTGCATTCAATCTCACCAATCTCTTCGTCTTCACTCCCATGACCATCGAGGTAATTGCTAGTTGCTAATTGCTTCATAACTTGCAAATTCAACTTAGTGCTTGTTTACTGACTTGCAATACTGTCTGTCCGTCTGTCTGTGTGCGGATTAGGTAGATAAAATGTATCCCAACTCCGTCTGTGTGTTAATTTGGTTAAGTAGCTACCACTCACAGTGAAGTTCGTTTATTTGGACCATAACATGCGCATGTCACCACCGTCTATCATGGTGCTGCGTTAACTCAAATGTAATTGTGGTTGTGGTGGCTGACGGGTGCAGATGATGAAGCAAAGGCATAAGGTGGAGAGGGAGCAGAACATTGGGGAAGAAGTTGGATGGTCAAAGAATGTGCAAGTTGCAAAGGTAAACCCAAAACTGGCAGCCATGAATAAGAAGTTTGGTATGATTCACGGGCTATCATCTCTTGCCAACATCTTCGCATTTGGCAGCCTTGCTATGCACTCGTGGTACTTGGCTGGTAGACTTGATCTCTAAGAAAATAAAACCCCAACTTCCCCTTTTCTATGGGGGCTTTCTTCTCGGTTTCCAAAAACAACACACTTAAGATGATGTATACTTGCTTCTTGTTTTGGTAGGCAATTGTTGAGTCCGTTCCGCTCATTCAAAGACATTATATGGCTATCGAAAATTTGTTCTTGCCACCAATAGCATCTTTTAGTGATGAATAAAAATGACTTTGTAATATTTCGATGTTGTGCATTCAAACGATCTTGCCAAGAGTCAAGTTTCACGTGAATTGTGAGCTATAACTGGCGACTTTCGGCCAGTTTTGCAAATTTCCTCCCAAAACATCATAAATTGATTTAATCAGTTTTGTCTTACTGTCATAAAAATAAATTTGGTGGCCTAAGCTGAATGATGATGATGATGATGATGATGATGTCTTTGTATGTGTATCCATTGCTAATTTATATTATCTTGTTTACACAACAATAAGAGTATCCATCCAGCTTCACGTTTATCATCTCTCTGAGAAATGTGAATGAAACAAAAAACACCCTCACCCACCCTGGTCACCCTGGACCCGGATTTTGCTTACTATTACGAATATGCAAACAAATTGAATAAAGAATCATCTATCCTTCTGCCACCCAACCACAACCACCACCCATGTGCACAAGTAATAGTCCCGTCCACAAGCATGTAACATGAATCGCCCGCCTACCTGATGCCTCGTAACCTCATGCTGGTTCGTCACCGCAAACTGATGATGCTGTATGCCCCCAAGACTAACAATCGCGCTGGTACCAAAAGCACCACAAACAAATGCATGTGCCACGATGCAACAATTCTACCGAACCGTTTCAACGACTCTCTCCCCGTCCGTAATACGCCAGAAAAGTTTAATTGCTCTCGCCTCAGGTTGATTGAGGCAACAGTCCTTCCCACAATCACACCTCCTGCATGCACGCTCCGGGGTGCTATCAAGGGCCACCACACCTTGCGGCGCTGTTGTCTCCTAGACTTCCTAATCTGGTTAAGCTCTTGCCGAATTACCCCACGAACAGATTTTAAATAAGAATTCACATCATGATCTCTTTGAATGGTTCCTTCTGAACCATATGCAGACCGGTCACTTAGGATCTCGAGTGGGTGTGGTGAGTTTAGGAATACCAACTGTGCAGCCCGGAGCTGCCTCTCTGCATCACTGCCATCAGACAGTGGGCAGCTTAGAAGATATAGACCACTGCCTGATGGAAGAAGATGATGATTTGGGGAGAATTTCTCATCTGGTTGAATAATCAGGAGCTCCCCCATTGGAGAATACAGTAGCTTCTGTTTTGAGGAAAGACAAAAATGATCAGACACAGATATCAAAATCAGGGGAACAATGAAACGGATAAATCCAATGTTCTTCTGTTCTCCTATTACGATCTTTCTGAGACAGTACCATTCTTACCTGGTTATTGAGACAGGGATGATTCCGAAAGTTCCCATTCAAAGCCTTGAGAAGCTCTGCCACATGATTTGGGTAATTGCAAGAGAAGGCACGGGGTACAATGTCTCTGTGCAACATAATAGACTGAACATGACTTTGTGGTAATCCAAGCTTGCGAAGCAATTGATAACCTCCACACATGATGGATGGTGCACCAAAAGTAATAACAGGAAGCAGTGAAGAAACTGGCACTTCTAACCGTATAAGCAACATGAGATTTATTAGTAGTGCCAAGCTTCCCCCTAGAGAATGCCCAGTAAAACGAAATGTTGCATGGTCACCATGAGATTTGAGGTGGGCATGGACTCCAGGCAGCATCTGTTTGTAAATCCCTTTCGCAGCCTCGTATATGCCTCTATGCACAAGCACATCCAGTCCCTAGGAAAAAGAAGATTATTCAATAAGTAATTACTTCTCATACAAACAAGGTCAATACTAAGACTAGGAAAACTAAAGAAATTATGGAAACGGATTAACCTCAAACTGAATGGGCTCAAAAAGTAGATTTGCTTGCCAGGATGCTAGTGATTCAGACCCCTGCAAATCATATAGATTGGAAGTCAAATATAGGAAAGAAGATACCAAATATTAAGAAAACAAAATGAGCTGATAAGTAAATCATAAAACTGGGGAAAGTTCCCTGAAACAGATGTATAAAACCACAATATGTTCCCCCTTTTTAACTGTTAATAGAAAGAAAATTATTCGAAATGCCCCAACATGCTCGGCCCTTGAGGGATGCATAAATATTGTATAGTAAATAAGAGAGGGCCCTTTGATCGGTTTTCTTACCTGAATGACAAAGAATCTGGTGCCGCTTTGATCATCATCGCATACGAACCATTCACAAGGTGATGAAAGTGTTGAATTTAAGTCATCTGCAACAGCCTGCTTTACTTCTTCCTTTGCAGCAACCACGGCTGTAACTGAGTCGGTGGTTGCCATTAAAGAAGCCACTTCTGAGTTCATCCTATTAACAGCTTCGCTTCTTTCACTGCCTTCTTCAGAGAGATCTTTATCTGCCTCAGTCTCTGAGGATTTGAATGGAAGTATGCTCCTTGTTTGAGAATGCAGATAAGAAGCTGCAGAAGCAGCAATTTGATAAGCAGCAAATGGACTTATTTGATATCCATTGTTCTTTTGCTCCTTTATTTCCCCATCTTCTTCCCTGTCTTCCTCAAGGTTTTTTTCAGTTTCTTGAATTTCAGCTGACACCTGGTCCTCCTCGGTTTTAGCAGCCAATTCCTTCTTCTCTACTGACGAAGTAACAAAACGAAAACCATAACTTCTTAGGAGATTTCCTGTCTGAATTTGAAATAAATCAAGTAAGTTCTTATGCATGTAGCCTGTATATAGGAATTGGATTGGTTGACGGAAATGAGATAAATGAGATGGTTTATCAACCCAAGAAAATATGAGAGTCCAAAGTGATTCCCTGATATAGAGTAAGATGTAATTATAGCATCCGATACAAATCATATCATGATTCATGACCCTCAAGTGATTAAGGATCCAGTAGCGCCATCAAACGAGTAAATAATGCAAACAACAGAACATGAGATTTGAGCGATGCCATTTGAATTACACGATTAAGCATCAATGCACCACGCCTTGATGAAAAGAAGGTTGATGTATAAACTTGACCTTAGTACAGAAAAGTTCCTAACCGAGGTAGGCAACTAATATCTATTGAATCACATTCCTATCAAATGCAGAATTCGCTACCTCAGAAACACCTCAAACGAATACAAAAACACAAACAACAAGAACAGATTTTCAAATCTCAAAAGGCCAAAATTGCTGGATTCTCATGGGAAAGCAAAACATAATTTTCCCACGCATATTGGGAATGGGAATGATGAATGATGTGTGCGTACCTGGATTTTAGGAATGGAATAAGCTAAGTTCACCAAGTACGACATTTGACCATACAACCTCGCCTCCGCCAACGAAACCTTCCTAAGCAACCGACTAAACGTATCTTATCAAACTCGGCCTCCTCTGAAACACTACAACAATCATTTTCGTCATCGTCTTCCTCCGAGTCAGCCTTCCCATTTCTGTCATCATCATCCATCACGGTTTTTCCATCTTCCCTGGGCAGCTCTGCAACGCCGCCAATCTTGCCCCCCTGCTGTTCCTCTCTCCTGGGTAGAGAGAGAGACCTCACGTGCAAAATCTTCAAAACCCAGTTCCCACTTTGACCGTCCGACGCCCTGGACGCACTCTGGCGCTCCTCCTCCGCCTCCGCCTCCGCCTCCTCTTCCTCCTTAGAGGGCAAGGGGACGGCGTCGTCGAGAGCCATCCCATTGTAGGCAGGTCCACCTCTTCTTGCTGCTCCAGGCCATAAGAATTTCAGAGGGTGCTTTAAAGAGAATCTGGAAAACGGCGTCGTCCTTTTCTGAACCGCGGTTGCTGTGGACTTGTCAATCCCAGATGCAGAGGAGCGGCCAATGGCGCTCACCTGAGATGGAGATGGGCTCGCACGGATATCGAGGGCTGCAGCCGCTGAGATGGTGGAAGATATGCCGTGTATCCCTGGCGCAGTTGTTTTCAGACAAAGGCCATCCATTTATGAGTCTCCCTGCTTCCTTCTCTTCCTTTCCTCTTCTTTTGTGTATGTAGAGAACAAATATGATTATGGGGATTTTGGTTTGATTTCCCAAAACACGTAAACAAATAAAAAAACCTGAAAGGCGTTAACCTACAATTTACAAATAAGTAAAGTCTTTGAATTTAAATTTGGGTGAATCGTCTGTGTTTCTTTCTTGCACGAAGCTACAGGAAATGGAATTGAGAGAGAAAGAGAAAGAGAAGGGGGCCTTTTAAGGAGAGAGGGAAAGAGAGACGAAGAAGACGAAAGAAAACGAAGGAAAGAAAGAGAAGGGGAAGGGGGTTTGTAATTTTGGTAGTTTTGTGAAACCCCAACAGCCCACCAACTTTACAAACCATGCTCTTTTTCAACCTTCTCGCAACTGTATATTTAATATTTTTTTTTAGTATAAACGATATTTTATATAAATGCACACGGCACAAATGAACTCAAATCTCTTTTAGAGTAGCGAGCAAAATTATAGTCATTGCATAGAAATAGAAAGGTTTGGAAAGATGATAATGATTCAGTAATGTATTATAGCATATCTAAGTTGGTGGACAGCGGAGGCCTAGTCTAAACTAACAAGTGCTAATTTGATTATGATTATGATTATACAAGTAATAATTATGTATTAGGGAATATAGAAGTAATAGTATTATACTAGCGGCACACACAAAGTGTGTGAGAAATTTTTTTATTTTTTATTTTGAAATAAAAGGAGACATGAAGAGAGTGATAGAGAATGTGGGACTAAAAATTTTTTTTTAATTAAAAATTTAATTGTGTGAAATTATATTTTAGTCTTATATTTCTTATTCATGTTCTGTTTTAATTAGAGAATTAAACTGATAATTTTATATGATTTTAGTTGATAATGAATGTTTTATTAATTAGTAGGGATTAAAAGTCCAAGAGTCCACCAGCATCATCGTGATTTGTCATATCACATGGGTGGGGTGGGGTGGCCTGGCGAAATCATGGAAGCAACAGGAAGAAAGAAGAAGAAGGTATCTTATACGAAAGCGCGTGGTCGGGTCGGGTAGGCCCCTTCCTTCTATCTCCTTTTGATTGAGTCTCTGTCCGTTGGTCTCTCTAATTCAAACCTTTTTTATTTTAAAAAAAGACTTGGATTTTTTCCACACATCTCTTTCCTCTCCCTCTCCTGAAAAAGAGTAGCTAAATTCTAAACGGTAATGGTAAAAATCCATAAATTCCAAAATCCAATACAAACTACGGATCATACGAGTGACGTGTCTTAAAAAAGGCTCTATCTTTGTTTCTTTGTTTCGCTACACAACAAAGTAGGGAAGGAACAAAACAAAAGTGGACTAGATTGATTGAATGGAATACATATCCCGTACGTACCTACTCTCAAACAGACACCGACTCTCCAAGATCTCATGCAATTGCGTCTCCTACATTTGACACGTGTCCATGACACACGGAGAGAGGTCTCTCAATACTTCGATTCATGAAACTATTTTGGCCAAATTGGATTATTCATCCATGTGGTCATAGGAAACTTGCATGATGACCCCCGTGGTGAAAAAATTAGGAATTAAACTCCTGTGGTCAAGAATGTTAGCAAATTTAGTCCAAAAGTAAGATTTTTGTTAAATGACTGTTAAAAGTATAGGTAAAACTATATTTTCAGTTCCAATTGACATTTAAAATAAATAATTTTTTTATAACAATTAACAAAAAAAATAATGCTTATTTTTTTAAATAAAAAAAAAAAGCGCCAATTCAATGTCAATTGGAACTGAAAATACAGTTTTACCCCAACTTTTAATATTCTTTTAAAAGAAATCTTACTTTTGGACTAAATTTGCTAACATTCTAGACCACAGGGGTTTAATTCCTAGTTTTTTCACCACGGGAGTCATCATGCAAGTGTCCTATGACCATAGGGATGAACAATCCAATTTAGCCAACTATTTTTCTAATTCGTAATTAAGGCAAGGATATTCACACGTGGTAATTAATAGTTGTGTATATGGTTTGTTAAGCTAAGAAAAACGGTGGAGCCAGATTTTAGGCATAGCCAATTTATTAGACCAGAAAAAAGGGTGAATAGAGCTTTCCCTCCTTAATGTGTGTTGGGCACTAGGCAAACACACCTAATTCTGATTTGTGACGTATCCTTAAAGTTTAAAATGCATTACTACTAGTCGCTCAGTCTGGCTGTCAAATATTTCTCACTTCACTTGAGATTTTAAAACTTTTAAGGGATTTTGAGGACAAGTTTCGAGGTTTTGTTATTTTCCTTATTGGGGTTTAGTAGTAATTCAACAAGTTGTGTTAGAAAGTTGGCAGACTTTTAATATCGCACAACACAAGCATCAAAGAGTCTGCTTGCTTTCCCTTGTAGCTGAGAAAGTCAAATTGGGATGGCAATTTGGAAAAGTCAGCAGCCTGCAAGTAGCAGCGAGTTTAGTCTTGAGTCATGAGTGGGTGGAATAAGGAAGGTAGCTCATCTGGTCCCATCCATTCTAGTCAAAATTATGCGCCACCTTCGCCATCTCCAACTTCCAACCAAAGCTTTACCCAAATCCATATCTAACAACAGTTGGATGCCAGGCCCAATTCATGATCCAGTTTAAGAGCTCTCTCTCTCCCTGGCTATGGCTATGATTTTGAATGAACAACGCTTTACCGGCATACCACACAAATGATATGACTACAACAACAAATAATCTTTTTATCATAAAATGTTTTCTCTGTTAGCTGAACTCAGGAGGAGAGGAGGGGCTCGGGGCTCAAACAAGAACTCAGGGCCTTCTTAACGTCTCTCGAGATGTTACAATTGGAACACATTTTAAACTAACAAAACAAAAACAAAATTATATATCCTCTATACCTACCTCCTTAGCCCAGAACCGCCTTGATCTTTGTCTTCTGATCTTCTGTTAGTGAGTTCGGGAATAGAACCTCAAATGTTACATACAAATCTCCTTTCTTGTTGCTGAAATGTAGAGGCATCCCTTCCCCCTTGAATTTCCTCACTTCCTTGGGCCTTGTAATTCCCTGCATCATTATCAACGTAAACCTCAGTCTAACTTGTACTATTTTATGAATCCCTTTCCTTCCCCATGGAAATTTTAAAACTAGCAAAGCATGACATATTTTAAAGCAATTTTCCCTATAGGTAACAAGTACATGCTATGCTGACTCACCTTTGAGCTAATGTCCACCAGATGATCATCAAGGTGCTTAACAGTCTTCTCAAAGCCAACAAGAGCTTGAACCTGTATATACGTTACATTGTAAGCCCAAGAAATCAACTCCACATTCTACAACCTAAAAACTTGTATGTCCAATTTTAAGGTCCTTATGCTAGCTGCAACTTATTAAACCTAACACAGAAATTAATTTGGGTCATACCAGTGTGATAGTGATAGTTGTGTGTAAGTCGTTGCCTTCCCTTTTGAACAGGTCGTGAGCTGCTGTGCGGATACGGAACTGCAAAAAAATTTGGACAATTATTGCCAGAACATGGCCCATGGATGTTCAATTTACTAAACCAAGGTGGCAAGGTCATAGAACTAACTTTTAGATCTCCAGGTTCTCCATCAATTATAGGCTCACCATCTTCATAGAAGACCACCTCCTGTAAAAAGCCAGAATTTTTCTCATCCGAATCAGGCAGGAGTATACTAACAAGAGCAACCATAGCCAGGACACTTTCAACTTTACAAAAGAAAACCCAGTTTCATAAAACTTATACTCATGAATTGGATTTGAAGCAATATCAACCAGTTTCATAAAACTTACACTCACTAACTGGATTTGAAGCAATATCAACCAGTTTCATAAAACTTACACTCATGAACTGGATTTGAAACAATATCAAGCCGTTCCATAAATCTTACATATAATATAAATAACATAAAAGTTACTGCTCAGAACAAAAGCTTATATTTCAGAATATTCAGAATGATACTCTAAAATCAGGAATCAACAGGAATTAAAACACCAACATACACTTAATATGAGGCAATACACGGAAACACTGGGAAGAGATTTTCGAATATGTGCACAAGGAAGAAGCTATCTATTGTTAACTGGCATAAGCAAATTGACAGAACTAATAAGTTTCAAAAGAAAATGAAGAATGAAATCTTACTTGCCCATCTTGCATCCCTTTCTCAATATCAACAGTTACGAAATATCCCTCCCTTTCATATTTGACATTGGGACACTGGTCACAGACCTGAAAGGGCATAACAAAGTATGTAAGAATGGTAGTAGCATGATAGCCAGTGAAACTAGTTGAAGAAAGGGACAGGGAAACAAAAAATATAGAAATGCACTCAGAAGACTTTGTTGGAAGAAACGATTGTTGAAGCATATACCTGTTCTGTCATCTGTTGGAACATCCCTGGACCGATTTGCCTGTGATAGACCTCATTTCTGCAGTTACAACGTCTCTTGCCTGGTGCTGGTTTCAGAATGTTCTTCTCCCTCCAAACCTGCTAAAGAGAGTGTAAAGTCATACAGAGAGAAATGGAAAGATCCAGCAGCCTACAGGCTTGGAAAACTTGGTTTCTCTTGCATGTAATAAATGTAGAAACAAGATGTCAGAACAAACACAATACATCGAAAAGCAGTGACCATATCAGAGAGAGAGAGAGAGAGACTAGTGATGCCATGCAGTTGGCTACCATTAAAACTTCATTTTCATTATATATTGTTTTCCGTCATGGTTGATATGCACGGGTGAACAACTTCATCTCTATCATAATGCATGAAGAATGCTTAATATCAGATACTGGATGACAGCCATGCAGATTCTTTATTGAGAGCTAAAAAGCTATACATGTCTCTTGCCTTTAATGAGCCTCCCATATAGAGGTCTTCCAATGTTGCGTCCAATTCGACGACTACATCATCTCCCTTGATGATTCTATCTTCTTCTTCCGAAGGGCGTCCGCCACCAAAAAACCTACATGAAACAAAAAAAAGTGAGTGTATGAAAAGTGCAACAAGTACAGCTATTTGCACCATTGGTTTCGGCCTCACTGAATATGTGAAGTGGAGAGCAACCCCTTGTCTTATAAAAGGGTCCCCTCACCCACATCTTGGGGTTCCTTGCTTTCTCATCATTTGGCAACTCCCAGTTCTCTATATGTACAATTTAACCCACATTATGGTAAAATCTAGATACAGCTCAACATGGACTGAATTGGATAAACCACGATCAATCAGTGTTTGTGTGGTTCCACGGTCTCTATCTCATTGAATAGTTATTCAGAATCAACACCAGCTACCTTATTTTAAATAAGTAACTAAACTCGCACATAGTCACCCACAGTCCATAGATTAGAGACATTAAATCTCAAAATTCTAGTTTTTCAGTTTTGACTTGGTGTAGTTAGCTAACATGAACAAAACTATGATGTGAAGTGAGTAATTATATGGATTATGGAGTAATGAAACTGAAAAGTAAAGCAGTAAAATTGAATGAAACATACTCGGAAAAGATGTCGTTGATGTTCATTCCCATGCCGCCGCCACCACCTCGGCCTCCAGTAGCGGCATGCTGTTTCAGACCCTCTTCTCCGTACCTATCGTATATGCTCCTCTTCTCGCTATCCGAAAGCACTTCGTATGCTAATCAAATCAATCAAAGTAGCCATTATTATTCTCAGCATCATTATCATTGATTATTATTAGCTCGAAAATAATTGAGATTTGAGAAGGAAGGAAGCGAAGTACCGTTGTTAATGTCGGCGAATCGTTTGTTGGCCTCTTCGTTGCCGGGGTTCTTATCAGGATGGTACTTCAAGGCGAGCTTCCGGTAAGCCCTCTTGATCTGCTCGTCGGAGGCTCCCTTGGGCACCTGCAGTATTTCATAATAGCTCTTCCCTGCGGCCGCAATGACGGCGGCGACAGCAAGCAGAGGAAGAAGAGGAACACAAGTACAACCTTGGTTCTCTGATGCGCCATTGCAAGGAGAGATTAGGGGTTGGATGGTGGATCTCCCCTGACCACTCAAACTCTCTCTTTCCGATTGAATTCTCGGCGGACAGCGGGTCCGAGGGTCTCCGTCCTCTTCTTCCTCCTGAGAGTCCTCCTCTCCCGGCAGCAGGAAGGCGTGGGATGGAGTTCGTTGGTCCGTTGGTTAAGTGATGTGATTTCCTTTCCAGTTTCCAACACAAAACTCTGAAACCCACTTTTTCGTCAATTCAATTTTTGTGTTTTGCGTCAAACCATTTGTATTTTGCAACGTGTTTTCCTCCAAAATTGGCCAATCACGTTGAGCGTATGGTTGTTCCACCCAATCATCGTCTGCCACGTCGGATACGCTTTCCTTGATGCGCATTCCTGGAACCGGACTGGAGGCCGTGACGACGACGACGATGCTATTTATTTTGTAGATCCGATGGACACGTCGAAAATGATGTTTGGGCTCCGTATCATTTCTTCAAAATGAAAGCCCAAACAATAAAGACTGGAATGTGGGCTTTTCATACACTTGTCAGATCCTGCGGGGCCAGGCAGAAGGCAGGCTCCATTGCTTTTGCTTTTATATTGTTGTCCTACAATGAATCAGGGTACTCATTTTCTTGCTCAGAATTTGACTGGGCTGAAGCCCACCTCTTCCCTACCAATGGGGCCCCTTATAAATAAATTAATAACAGAAAAATATTAAAAGAAATAAAAATAAAATTATTACGTGGTTCCTGGTAGAAAGAAACACGTTGAGGATTCTTCAAGTTTTCAAGAGGAGGCTTGAATTGAATGAACGAATGGCCCAGAGAGAGCAGAGCAAGAACAACTTCAGCAAGTTGACCAAAAGAAAAACAACAACATCAGCAAAATTAAGTATATACGACATAAATAAATGCCGTGGTTGCATTTAAATGTTGTTGTTACGATTTGTTGTTTTTTCTTGAAAATTGATTGGTGGATGGATTGTGAAATACATTTGTTGTGAAATAAAATGGGTGGAGAAATAAGACGAAGGGGTCAGCTAGCAGCTCACATCTCCAATACTGAGTAGAGAGTAGACTAAGCTACGGACGTAGCCTTACATATATAATTAGGTACGTGAAAGCCCTCCTACTTAACGGAAAAATTAAATAAGAGAAGGGAAGATGGATTGAGTGGAGACTCATGAGTACTAATTGTTGAGAGGATCTCATTATATTTAAATGGTTCAAATTCAAGTGATTGAATATTAGAAAAGTAGGACGTAGAAGAGGATGTAGATATTTTGAAGACAGGATGTGCTATCTATATATCTTTTTTACTTCTTACATACTTCTTGTTAATTTCTGTCATTTGATATTATTCAATTCATCTAATCCGACGGTTGAAAATTAGAAGAATGTGTGAGAAATAAAAAAGAATAAATGTATATCACACCCTTTGAGACTGAAAACACGAACAGAACATTTGACTTTTTAGGAAGGACATGACATGACTAGTAGGGAGGGAGGGAGGGAGGGAGGGAGGGAGGGAAGGGAGGGCCCGGTCCGCCCGGAGGCTCATCAACGTGGGAGATACAAACCCCGTCACGAGGCCCTCGACACAGAGGCAGCCACGAGTGTGGTTTGGACATGTAGACCTCGTGGCACAATCTTCCACCACACCTCCGTCTCCATCAATATTCAATTTTGTATTTAATGGCAAACCCCCACCTCCACCTCCGCCAGTCCACCTCTCCTCTCTCTCTCTCTCTCTCTCTCCTCTCTCTCTCTCTCTCTCTCGGGGACTTATATTTATCCCTCCCTGCTGGACCCTCTCCTTGTGTAAATCACGTTGTTAAAACCCTCGTCTTAGCAGCCTCAGAGTGATCTTCGTCTCAGTGAGGACTCGTTACTTGTGAATTATCTCTGTTGTATACATTCTTGGCTCGGTCGAGAGATTAACTGGAGAGAAATGGGGAGGGCGCCGTGCTGTGAGAAAGTCGGTCTCAAGAAGGGAAGGTGGACGGCGGAGGAGGATGAAATCTTACTCAATTATATCCAGGCCAATGGGGAAGGCTCCTGGAGGTCTTTACCCAAGAATGCAGGTACCTACTTTTCCTTCTTTCTTTCTTTTCTTATCAAATATGATCGATCATGAGTTTGTTAATAATTATGCATCGTACAATTAAATTAAATTAATAATATAATTAATTATTCAACTTGAAAAGGGTTGCTGCGGTGTGGAAAGAGTTGCAGACTGAGATGGATAAATTATCTGAGAGCTGACTTAAAGAGGGGAAATATTTCTTCTCAAGAGGAAGATATCATCATCAAATTGCATGCTTCTTTGGGTAATAGGTCAGTCACTCACTCATAAGCCTGGGCATTAATTAAATTCATAAATTAGCCTAATTATAATTATTTTCCCATGCACTTCATTTTCATGGATCGTAATTCTTTTACCAATAATTATATAAAAATTCAAACGCAAATAGAGGGGAATGGGGAGAGAAGAAGGGGGATATCATACAATATCAAAGTATCGTCTTGTCAAGAGTGTTGTACTACGTGCCAGTTTTCAACTTTCTGAATTGTCAACATTCTTTTCCTTGCAGCTATTTTTTTATTTATTTATTATTATTATTTTTTTTTTTTTTATGCTGCCCGTGTCTTTGTCATTTGTCAGCAAACAAATTTGCTTTTTGTCGTTACTTGGGTAAGGCGTACCGTGGCAAACCATTTGAGAACTCCGTACTACTCGGTACTCCGAGTGCTTTAATCATTAATTTTTTTGTTTATATTTTAAATAAAAATCTCGAATGAACATCCTTTTTAGATTGTTTTTGTGAGGATTTTGGAGATTCTATTATCATGTCCATTTGTCGTATATCGTACGGTTAGAAATTATTTTAAATTTTATATTTAAAATTAAATACAAATAGTATTTGACGAAAACTAATCGTAAAATTTACATGAATGAATGCAATTAAAGAATCCTCACAAAGAAAATGATCTTTACAAAAAAAATTTCTGGAGAAAATCATAAGAAGATCCGGAAAGGATCCTAAACCAAAAATCTCACGTTAAAGCATCTTCAAGTACTCTGGAACGTCTAAAAGAGTTCCCTAAAACTAGAGCTAGACCGCACGTCGATGAGGTCTGAGTGTGAGGGCAAGGAAAGGATTGTAGTGATGGTTGGTTTGGTATTACTGAGCTTTGAAAAAAAAAAAACTAATTCTGCTGTTTTGTGAGAATAATATCATTTTGACTGTTTCACATTTTCAGTTTTTTTTCATCCAAAATTATGAAAATAAATTGTTTATAAGTATTTACCAAACACCTTTTTGAGCTCAATGTTTTTTATACCCACTTTTCATAAAAGAATTTCAGTACCAAACCAGTACTAACACTAATTATTTTATTGTTATTTGTTTTGAGGGAAACACGTTGAATTGGTTTGTCGTGATTGCACCCGGATCTTCTTCGGATCCCCAAAAATTGAGTTTAAGGATCAAATGATTCGGACCGTTGAAATTTGATTCAACGGCTACAAACAGATGACTCCTCTAAAAATTATAATATTATAGTCATTAGGTCAAATTTCAACAATCCTGATCATTTGATAATTAGGCTCAGTCTTATAACAGTCATTTTTAATTTTGCCGAATGATTTCAAACCATCTAAACTTTAGTTTGCCGAATGATTTCAAATTGAATGATTTGAAAAAATGTTTAGGTTCATTTGAATGTTTTTTCAATAATAATAATAATGATTTCAAAGTTTTCAAAACACCAATTTCGTGTTCCATTCGTCAAAAATAATTTTTCTTAATCAACATGTTTGTAGTTTCATTGCTTAGAGTTTTATTCAACAATGGAGGGTGTGAGGGGTTTTGATAGTTGAAGGAGATAAATAATACGTTAAAAGTTAATATTATTATTATTTTTTAAACCTATAAGGTCAAAATTGTCATTGCATAGTAGAGTAAATAAGTCATTAATATTATATTTTAATGTGAGGTGCATTAAACATTTTGTGGGGGCTAATATAAAAAGCCATTTTTAATACCAAATAATGTATGGCTTCTTTTGTAATTACACCGATTTGATAAATATAGAAGCTCCTCCTTAATTTCTCATGCACCACATTTTTTTACTTAATTTCTCATGCACCACATTTTTTTACGGCATTATCTAAAGCATATCATAGATAATGTTTGTGTCCTATTGAGGGACTTACTTACCACTTACAATTAATAAACTTTTATCATTTGACACATCATAATTGAAACTATTTGTTCTCTTTATTATCTATTAAGATTATATCTGTAAAAAATTATTCAATTTGAATATCGTTTAGTCATCCATACTTGTTAAATCAATCAATAATTTTGGTAATAAATAGTATCCTCATGATGAACTGTTCATTTGTTTTATGTATATGGATGATTGAAAATCTCCAAATTATATAATTTTTTTTCTCATGGTGATACACAAGCACTATATCATATCAAATGTCCCCACAGGCCACACGAACTGAAAAAGGAAAATAAAAGAAAGGGTTGAATTAGTTTAGAAGGATTTGTATTATAGAGTATATACGGTTACCATGGTGATACATGTATAATATGTAATACTATGAGCAAACTTTTCTTCACATGGTATTGTTTTATACTGAGTACACAAAGTTACTCTGTCAGTGTACCATGTTAATTATGCAATATCATAAATAAGTTTTGTTTTTCACATGACATTGTATGATTAACACTCACAACTATAGACTACATTGTCTCGTGCCAATTACGCAATAGTAGGTATAAGTTGTTTTCTTCCATGTCATATTGTCTGACTTGCACAAGTTGCCATTGTTTACATTTTCTTGTCTTTATGCTCGCGATAATCAAACTGACTTTACAATTTTTCTTTGGGACCATAAAATTTGACCTTCAAATTTAATATAAATGGGAACAAAGACAAACTTAGCTAGCTGTAGATATCAGATATTATAGTGTTAGGGGATGTTAGAGAGATTAAATTTGTAGGTAAAATTTTATAACTTAATGATATAAAAGTTCATGATTGAATTTTTACTTAAACGTTATATTACTTAAGCGTTGATAAACATGCTCATTTTTTTATAAGTAATACATCATTTAGTTTGCAAGTTTTATCTATTTAGAATTACTCCTAGTATATAATGTTCGTTTCTTTTCTTTCTAAATATGCCAATGCAAATAAAATTTTGATTTAACGTTGCTGGTTAATTAATAATTACTGTCATTATGAAT